ATAGATGCTCACCTCTGGGCTCCACCAGCACTCCCCACGGGGATCAGGCTGCTCCTGGCCTGGGACGTTTTCTCCTAGAGTCTGTCTCCACACACAGTGAGCAAGCAAAAATCATGACCTGAGGAAAACAGAGACGACTTCTGGAATACTCTGCAGGCTTCAGAGCAAGGCACTAACAAAACTCAGACCACAATCAGACACCGAAGTTTATTGCTTTACATTCTTTCCAGTAAATGGATTTATTGTGAGGAGACAGTGGTCCTATTCTCCTGGGGTTTTTTTAAATTCTTTTTCATCTTTTGTGTTTCCAGTCAGTCCATGACTATGGTTTGACTGTTAATCTACAACATAGAGGAAATGTCCAATTCACAAAAGTGGTGTATTCCAAACCTTTGGAACTCAGAATATTTTCTCCTTAAATAAACAATATTATAAATGATGGTGAGGTTTCCAGACCAGCCCCACAAAAGCCCTCTTGATTCATAATGTTGTTGAGGCCCTGGACTTTTACGGTGAAAATTAGTAGAGAGCAATTTTGTTGTAGTACCAATAAACAAACTCAAATATGGAAGATATAGTCTCCTTTCTCCTGAATTCTATTTAATGAAACAACTGGTTTAATGAAAGGAGATAAAGGGAAAGACAGAGACTTTTTAGGGAGAGACATCTACTTATAAGAATTTTGGAGCCTTACAGAAGCATTCTATTGTTATTTTGTCTGTCCAGTTTCACTTGGATACCTTTTTTTCATTTTCCCTCATAGAGGCATGACACAAAGGAGCCATGATGAGGGTAGATTTGGGACTCATAGCAAAGGATGGGGGAGGAAAAGCAAAAAGTTTGAGAGAGATTTTCTTGATGGGGCGATTAAAGCACGTCGTTGCAAGGGGGAGGTTGCCTAAATCGGTATTAACCGATTTGCTAAGGAAATTGAGGAGAAGGTGGAAGACCCAGTATTAGTGCCCTAGGCCCTTGAGCCAGGAAGAGAGAGAGAGAGGACAGTCCACTATTTGGTCAGACAGTTCCCTCTCTAACCATAAGGTGGTGCCATCAGCCCAGACAGTCGGCCCCAAGGGGGCGTGGCTTGCAGGAGGAAGAGCTCTCCACGAGGAAGCCACGTTTTCCACTCTGGCTTTGGAACTCAGAAAGCCTGGACCAGACACCAAGTATCAACCTATGCGATATTGCCTCATCATCCAACAACTTCCCATCCTCCAAGGCCCCACCTGCTCATACCTTCCCATCCTCCAAGAATACCTTTCTAGGTATAGCAACCCACATCAAGATTCCAACTAATTACTTCCCATTCCTCTCATCCATATCCCCCTTCACAGTGTCAGCACTGGGCCCCTGACCTCTTCCTAACTCCAAAAGGGAATCTAGTCTACGAGCGTCCTGGAGTTTCATCCTTAAATGCCATCAGGATGTGAAAACAAGATCTCTGGTGAGCACAGATTTGTCACAAAGGCCCCACAACAAGGCCCCAGATGCCCTTGCCAGCTTTATCTTTCACTTGAATACCAAACTGGGCAACCCCTATTCCCGATACAAAATGCACCACATCTCCTCCGTTCATTTACCCATGCTGGTCCTCCCTCCTGTGATACCCTCTGTTCCTTTTCTACTTGTCAGTATCCTCTCCCCTTTCAAAGCCTAACCCAAATTAACCTACTTATTGTTTGGATTTAACTGGTGGAGTTAGAGAGGAAAACTTGGGCTCCTCGCATTAACCACAGAAGCCCCCGATTATCACGAGGTGAGCCTGCCTCATCCTTTCCACTGCCAGTTGGGTCTTAAACTGAGAAGGAGGGTCCGTCCAGCCAAGACTCCCTGCTGAGCCTCAGAGCAATACCAGCTGGACTGTCCTTGCATCTCCCAAGTCTCAATTCCCACCTAGAGAGACACCAAAGCTGCAAGCACAATGCATGGCCCAGTATCTATTCTCAATTCATGTTTCCTTTATAATAATAATAAAATTAATTACTATCATTATTACTGCCCCTTCCCCACTCCCTACTGTCACCAGCCGCGGTCTGCCAAACCAGTCCTGAGTTACAGAGCTAGAAAAAGGAACGAGGGGAGATCACAACACAGTCACCAGCCTGAGCTCCCCTCCCCACTTCCACCCCAGGCCTGTGGCCTAGACTGGTAATCCCAGGAAACTGCCTCCTGATTCTGCAGAATTTTCTCAGCCCTGATGGGATGGACTGGGGTGGGCATCCTTCTCTGGATGTCTGGCCCTGGCCAAGTGGCCTGAAGATAAAACTTTTAAGAACTGGTACCTGTAACTTGCAACACCTCAAATACAGTTAACTACTTTCTTTTTAGTTCTAAAGGGACAGGTGGCTCAGGTAGGAGACAAGAATGTCCCCTGCGAGACTGGAGCAAAAAGCCCCAAGATGAATTTTTCCATTATGCAGGTCGGTCCTCTGAGGGCAGCCCCAGGGCTTCATGGTGGCAAAAGGCCATGCCCCAACTCTGGGAGGCAGGAGCCCAGAGACCTCCATCTGCCTGGCCCCTGATCCAGGTGGCCGAGAAGACCCAGAGAGTCTGTATCCAACAAAGGTGGGCTTGCTTCCACCCCTAGGACCTCTCCTATTTCTGTGGCTCAGAGAACCAAGAGACCAGATGCCCTTTTTAATGCCAATATAGCTCATGTTCTCACCTACAAAAAAGCCTCTCCAAGGAAAGAAAGCCTACCCAGGTAATTCAGAGGCTTATGGAGTTCGTGGGAGGCCAGACTGCTGCCGTTTTTTTTGTTGTTGTTGTTATGTTTTGTCTTTTCAGGATCTACAGGAGACGGTGTTTCATAAACTAATAAAGGAAGTTAACTACGCAAACAAAAGCAGGGTGGGAAATGCTAACAACCTATTTTAATGTACTTGTACCCCACCTCCTTCCCCCAAAGCTCTGAGGCTGCAAGAAGTAATTGTTATTGGAATCATGGGCATGAGTGGTCAGTTTCTTGCCACTGCGGCAGACTCGGACCTTCAAAGTGACCATTTCCTTGGGCTCTGAAATCGGGTGGGGATGGTGGACAGCAGGTCCCAGGCGCTGCAACCCCGGGGAGAGCCCACCCGAAGGCGCCTTCCCCACCCGCTCCTTTCATACCTCCCACCTCAAGGCCACTGTATGCGCTGGACAGCCGCCGTCAGAGGCGCCCACCCTGCCCCCACCCCCCTTCCTAACGCCCTCGTGCATCCGGAACCCTGGGAAGGGAGCTTTGGAAGCCGAACGGCGGCCGGAGGATGACCCGGCCCCAGCGTCTCCGCACCCCCTCCCCCAACCGTGTCACATGGCTGCCCCAACGAGGCTCGCAGTGCGCCCCGCCGCGGAGACCCAGGGCCGCGTCGCCACGGGCAGTGGGTGATGAAACCTCCCCGGCGAATTACCGCAGAGGGCAGGGAGCAGAGCTGGGCCGAGGCCGGGGCCGGCGCCGGGGGGTGGGAGCTGGTACCCGGGCTCACCTGTTCTCCAGGAGGCGGATGGAGACGGCGGGGGAGGGGCGAGGGCGCGTCAACCCGGGGTGAGTGGCGCGGCGCTCGCGTCCCCGCCCTCCCCCAGCCCTGCAAGCCCCCAGAGCAGCGCCGTCGGACTGACGGTGCCCGGAGCAGTTCCTGTCCCCAGCCCAGGCGCCGGGGAGACGTGAGCGTGCACACGTACACACACAGCGGGGGAAGAGGCGCTCCGAGCGGCGCCCAACTTTCTCCCTGCTTCCGCAGGCCGGGGGAGAAAGCGCTCGGGGGCAATCCAGCCCCGGCCGTGCTTGGGGAGGGAGCTCGAACAAGGAAAAGAGACGGAGGGAATTTCCTCGGGTTTTGTTTTTAGGGTTTGGGGAGAATTTTTTGACCTTTTCCATCCGATGAATGAAGAGTAAAGGGAACCAGAATGGGGTGGCGAGTAGCGCTTTGAGAAAATGGAATAGTATGTTTGGAGACGCGTAAAGTTGCCTTTCAAGCTCCAGCCTCTGGTGCACGCGATGCTCCTCGGCGAGCTGACTCAGGGCTGCCTGGGCCTCCCAGCCCCCCGCCTGGAAATGATGCAGGTCCAGTCAGTCACCTGGATCCCTGCAGCCCAGCCCGGAATCCGTCTGGACTGAGGGAGGGGCGAGAATCTGGCACCAAGGCCCACCAAAGAGGGGCGAAAAGAGGAAGATGGGGCAGTCGCTCAGGCTAAGTCCTATATCTAGTGCTCTGATCCTATCTTAAATAGTTTGAGGGATTTTTTTTTTTTTTTAAATGCAAAGCATCACAACGCCAGGAATTCCCATATGTGCCCAGTTTGGCCCCAGCATCACTGTGTCCAGGAAACTTCTCCAATCCTCGGGGCTGGGAATCTCAAGTGAATTCCAACAGGCAGAAAGAGGAAACTTTCCCAGCCCGATGCGGGCATGATGCGAGTCAGGAGACCGGGCGGACGCTGTCCCAGCGCAAACTGTCCCCTCTCGCCCTTCCTTAGCTGCAACCGGAGCTGGAATTCGCTTTTATTTTTTTAAGTCCGTTCGGCCATTGCCCTCGAGCACCCGCACACGCGTATGCATCTCCGGCCGCGTTCTCACACACTCACACACGCACGCAAACGCGTGGCCGCCGCCAGGTCTGCAACTTTGTCAGGCGCTCCCAGCGGCGCTCGGCTTCCTCCCGTAGTAGTTGGGCACAGGCCACGCCTCCCGACCGTGTTGTCAAACGGGCGGGGGTCTCGGATTGGTCCGGCCGCCGGGACAACACCTGCTCGACTCCTTCATTCAAGTGACACCAGAGCTTCCAGGGATATTTGAGGCACCATCCCTGCCATTGCCGGGCACTCGCGGCGCCGCTAACGGCCTGGTCACATGCTCTCCAGAGAGCTACGGGAGGGCGCTGGGTAACCTCTATCCGAGCCGCGGCCGCAAGGAGGGAAAAGGCGAGCGAGGAGGAAGAGTGGGAGGAGGAGGGGAAGCGGCGAAGGAGGAGGAAGAGGAGGAGGGGAGCACAAAGAATCCAGGTCTCCGGGCGGGAGGTTTACACCAAGAACCATGTGTGCCGAGCGGCTGCGCCAGTTCGTGACCCTGGCTTTGGTGTTGGCTACCTTCGACCCGGCGCGAGGGACCGACGCCACCAATCCGCCCGAAGGTCCCCAAGACAGGGGATCCCAGCAGAAAGGCCGCCTGTCCTTGCAGAACACAGGTAAGTGCGTGCGCCCCAGCGGCGGGGAGCTGCTGGGAGAAGACACCCGGCACCCACGCAGAGCGCCCCGGGCGCTTCGCCCGGAACTGGGCGCCCACGCTGGGCCGCGCAAACTCTTGGGATGGCGTAGGACGTGCAAAGGAAAGCGCGAGGCAAAGCGAGGTCCGCGCCGGGCTCCGCGCGCCCGGAATCCGCACGTGCTGGCAGGGTGATGAAATGGCTGGGGCAGGACTTGTTGCTGTCCTCCCTGGGTCGAGGGTAAGTGAAGCAGCGTCTGACGCGGCCAGTGCCGGCTCCGGAGTCCCCGGTCCGGTTCAAAGCTCCCTGCTCCATCCAGACCGGCTTGCGGGAGGCACGGAGGGTCCCCGGAGCGGGGCTGCGCCCAGAACCCGGAGAACTTCTCTTCCCAGCCGGCGGGCCGCGGCAGGACCGCTTCTCCCCTTCCTCAAAAGATGCCCGACATCCGAGAACTTTATAGGCGAGACAAATTGCATTTTGAACTTTCCCCTCAGGGGGCATTCCTTTCGGAAGGGGTAGGGGCGGGTGGCGCAAAAGCGTACCTCTGCGGTGCTGCCGCCGTCCCCCGCTCCAGGGCAGGTCAGCAAGGGAAGAAATGGTGACACGGCCCGAACCGTGCGCAGCAGCTGCTCGACCGGCTCTCCGCTCACCCACAAGCTGCCGAGCACAGCCAGGCGTGCAGGGCTCGGGGCTGGCCCTTTTCCCAGCCTCCTGGAGAGGATGAAAATCTGCCTACAGCTCCTTCGCTCTTCACGGCCCTCCCTTTATTTAGGGGGCCTGCGAACCCGGGGGCGGCGTGCGTGCGCTCACCGCACGAGCAGG